TTAAGACTTGTGGACTTCAACTCCCAGAATTCCTCAGCCAGCAAAGCTGGCTGAGGAATTCTGGGAGTTGAAGTCCACAAGTCTTAAAGTTGCCAAGGTTGGACACCCCTGTAATCTAGATAGTTCAAATAATTTCTGTGTGAAAACAGGTATATAAGTGGGATAAGGGCAATTGTGCTTTTAATTGTGCTTTTTCCTTTGAGGAACCTCAAATCATAGCCAATATTGCCCTCTACTGTTAACTGGTTCTATACACAAATGATAGGCCTCTTTACATAGAGAGTACATGTGACATATGTGGGTATTGAAGTCATTGTTTTGAGTAATGCATTTATTCAAGAAAAAAATTTAACTGCACATATTAACTTTATACATTTCCTGTACAGGGGGTATCAAGTGGATCCTATGGCAGCAGCAGCAGCGGCCAATATGGACAGGTAAAAATATTGTTTGGTGTAGATATTATATCATTGTACATTTCTGAGGAAAAAACGTATGCCCTGTTTGATATTCTGAACAATATTAGAACTTTGCATGGATCTTGATGATATACGTAAGGAGTGAATACTTTTTCACCAGTTGTATTACTTAGTAAAGGAGAATGATAAGAGATTAGGAAAGAGAAGTACCGGTAGCTCTCTCTCTCTCTCTCTCTCTCTCTCTCTCTCTCTCTGTGTGTGTGTGTGTGTGTGTGTGTGTGTGTGTGTGTGTGTAAAATATAGAAGTAAGACAAAAAGAGGCTATAGCAGCTTTGTACTTTGTCCTTGGATAATTTTGATTATTTTCTGCACATTATGGTCAGAGTGGATCCTACGGCAGCAGCAGCCAATATGGACAGGTAAATATTCTTTTGATATAAAAAATATATGCAACATATTAGAACAATATATGTATATATTAGAACAATTAATCAGTAGAATGACTTGCCTCCAGAAGTTGTGGGTGGTTTTTAAGAAGAGATTGACCAGACATTTGTCCAAAATGACATAGAATTTCCTGTTTGAGCAGGAAGTTGGATTAGAAGACCTTGGAGGTTATATGCCTTAATAACACAAAAGAAAGCTAGAATTGTAGAGTTGGAATCTAGAACAATCTAAAAAACAACTGTCTTATAGATCCTACTGTCAGGAATTCCTTCATAGTTAAATGAAATCAAGGTACCTGTGACTTATAACCATAACGATCCATAATTTCTTGGGTTATAGAAATTCATTCTTTAATGGTCTTCCTCATATGTGTCTGAACATAGCTATCCGTCTAAATGTTTTTTTCTCCAGAGTCAGTATCCCCAAGATATTACAGTTTAATACAGCCTTAATTTAGGGTGATTATAATTTCATTTCAGAAAAAAATAAATTCCTTTCTCACCCCTATAGAATAGATGGTCTATGTCTTCCTTAATCTTGGGTCCTGTACCAGAGGCTTGGGAGTTTGAGGATTCTGCATAGGATCGTATTATTTTCCACATCTTCTCAAGTTCCTCCTTTACACACACACACACACACCACTACCACCACCACCACCACCACACTCTCAGCCACTCACTTATTCTGCCTAATAGAAAATATATACATATAAATGTAATCTATTTATCATCATCACAAAATCTCCAGAACCGTAAAGCCTACAAACTTGAAATTTGACATATATGTTCCTCTTGGTTTCTAGGTGCTCACTAAGAAAGGATTTTTTGAAATGACCATCAGAACATTAGTATTTTGTATATTATTATTAACATGCTCTGATGCTAAGGAGTTCTACTCCCCCTCCCCACCTGGAAAGAAATCTGTTCCAAATGCAAAACACAAGGAGAGGAGAGGAGTTTCAGTTTCAGTTTTAGTTTCATAGCAGCAACCAGCTTTAATACAGAATAGTTGAGATATGCCACACCCAGGCTCCTTGCTGTCTCCTTGCTCACACAACAAATAGTTTCAGTTTCCAAACAGCCCTCAACTCTCACACACTGACAGGACGCTAGCCAGATGAATACAGATGGATGCTGGTAGGCAGAGGCAGATTTTTTCCCCTTATTTTTCTCCCCAAAAACTAAGCCCAACCACATAGTTTCATAGTGAAGCATGGGTATCAAGCTTGTTCTTTCATAATGTTTAAATCACTCAGTTTCTTGGGAATTAGGTAGTCTATAAATATACTGTATGTAACTAACAAGCAAACAAATCAATAATTTATTTGAAGAGTGGGTCATATTGCACTAGCAGCTAATGTAGACAGCTTAAAAACTTCTGGCTATTACTAATGCATTCAATATAGTGTAGGTCTCAGTTATATTGATAGATAAGGATATTAGGGCTGCACATGATTCTAAAATGCTTCGGAAGTGTTTTGCACCTCCTTCAAGGGATTCATTAAAATTAGGGTTACTTTTAATGCAAGCAGAGTTTCTTTCAGGGCTTGCAAAAAAGGAAAAAAAGGACTTGCTTTAATTAATAGCAGAACTGCTTGTTAGAGATCTGAAATGTCTCTTCCAAAGTATCATAAAATAAAAATTGTAATTTTTAAACGTTTTCTTACAGAGTGGATCATATGGCAGCAACAGCCAGTATGGACAGGTAAAACTATCGTTTAAATACAGTAGATATCTAATAATGGCAATATGTGACAATAGCCAGAGATGAGCAAAGAAATCCTATACGTAGATCAAGTCAAAGGAAGGAGGTTATGTAACTGCTGTGGACAGAGGCCAAATATTGAATCCAATGCCTAAAAACAGTCCAGGACGGAAGGGAAGAAAAGCCTCAGGTAGAAAATGCAAATGTGGTTTGGAAAACTTAGTTCTGGTCACAGACTTCCTGAAAGCAACCAATGCCAAGTAATAAGGGGCAGGAGTTTCCACTAGAACTATGAAAAAGAATCAAGATGAGAGTTTGAAGCCCAACTCCTTTTTCTAATCAAAGGTGGAAAGACTTCAGCTGCACAGTGATGACCACCACTCAACATTTTTGATATGCCCTCCCCTGGGCATCACAGATTCTAGGTCTTTGTACTACACTTACATGAGACAGTCGATACGTTCCCACAGACAAATGAGGACATGCTGAAGCCCACATTTCTGTACTGCTGCAGAAGACAACGCCATAAGTACCAGCCCCACAGATTCAATAGATCATAATCTTGTCACTGCCAATCCTGACATAACTGTCCTAGGAGGGGTCTTGATTACTATGACCGTCCTCTCAAAACTTGTTTCAGGAATACCATCTACACAAGATGCAGCCCCAACATTCCTGTCTGGGCAGAAATGCCAGCAATCCAGACTAGAGGGGGAAAGATTATTTGCCAGGATTCCAAAGTGAGGGACCAGATACTGCCAGAAGGAAAGCCAAAGGCACACATATGGGCAGAGGCTACCTTCACAAGTTGCCTCCCTGGGAAACAGAAGACACTTCCTAGCAGGAAGAAGGGGATTTATTTAAAATTTATTTGTGTGTGTGTGTGTGTTTATGTTTGTCCATTTTTAAATGCTTTGTTTGTCATAACATATAGAAAGTTGCAGGCCTAGCATTTTGAAGTAATGTATATTAATGTTAAATCTTAATTTATATTTCTGCGCAGAGTGGATCCTATGGGAGCGGCAGCCATTATGGACAGGTAAAACTATGCTACCATATAATGTCAGGCTCCAAAAAAACCCCAAAGAAAGATATGCAGAGAAAGCCGTTTCCTTTATTGTTCCTGACCTATGGACAGAATCTTGCCAGACTACTTGCATCATTAAAGATAGACACTGAGAACCTGTAGGGAGGAGTTCTCTTGACCCTTTTCCTCCTAACCAAACTACCTCAACTGTGCTCTCTCTTGCTCCCCTGGAATACCACCTGTCCCTTCTTTGAATCCGAACTAATTCTCACCATATAATGTGTGTAAAAAAAGGCCTACAATAAAAATAAAAATGAGCATTTTGCACCTTCTGAATGTAAGTAGCACTCTTCTGCAGCTTTATGAATTGTTTTTATAATATATTTGCTATACAGACTGGACAAAGCGGATCCTATGGGAGCAGCAGCCAATATGGACAGGTAAAATCGTTTTGTTGTACGATATATGTAGAAAATGTGCTCTAGCAATAGATCAAAATGGGCATTTTGGTTTATTGCTGCTTCTAAAATACAGTATAATAACATGGGCATTTCTGTTTATTGTAATTTCGGAATATAAAAAGCAGGTTTTTGAAGTTATATTAATGGGGCCTTTTTTACACTGGAGATGGCTGGTAAAATAAGAGAGAAGATTCCACTTCTATACTGCAAATGTACTGGGTTCCTATCTTTATCTTGTTAATTTTAATGTTTTTATATTTGTGTGTTTATTGTAAGCTCCCCAAAATCTCTCTAAAGAGTGAGATGGGAGTTGTATAAATTTAATAAACAAACAAACGAATAAATAAATGTTTTATAATGTATTTTCTGTACAGACTGGACAGAGCGGATCCTATGGGAGCAGCAACCAATATGGACAGGTAAAATTGTGTTACCATATGATTTGTGTAGAAAATATGCTAAGTAATAAATAATCAAAAAAGAAATGTGTATTTCTATGTATTTCAGCTTCTGAGTATAAAAAAGCAGCCTTGCTTAAATGTATTGTTTTATGATTCTTCCTCCCCCCCCCCCCCCCGTATTTTTTGACAGAGTGGATCCTATGGGAGCAGCAGCCAATATGGACAGGTAAAACTGTTTTATTGTATGACACATGTAGAAAATGTGCTATAGTAATAGATCAAAATGATCGTTTTGGTTTATTGCTGCTTCTAAATATAACAACATGGGCATTTCTGTTTATTGTAATTTTGGAATATAAAAAGCAGCTTAGAGCAGTTATATTAATGGGGGGCATTTTACACTGGAGGTGGCTGGTAAAAGTAAGAGAGAAGGTCCTATCTCTATATTGCAAGGGTTCCTCGCTTTATCTAAGTCTTATTAATTTTAATGTTTGTATATTTGTGTGTTTATTGTATTGTAAGCCACCCAAAGTGAGATGGGAGTCATATAAATTTAAGAAATAAATAAATGTTTTATAATGTATCTTTTGTTCAGGCTGGGCAGAGCGGATCCTATGGGAGCAGCAGCCAATATGGACAGGTAAAAAACTGTGTTATTGTATGATGTATGTAAAAAAAATGTGCTTATAGCAATAGATAATACAAAGAAAGATGAGCATTTCCATTTACTTTCAGTTGCTTTGTGCAAATATATTAATATTTTTATATGCATTTTCTGTACTGAGTGCTGCAGCTCTCAATATGGAAAGGTAAATATTGAGCAATGTATAGATAATATATTTCATGGACAGATGTAAACTATTTCATAAAACTTAACATTGATGTTTATTTCTGCTCTGAATGTAAAAAAGATCTGTCTATCTATCTATCTATCTATCTATCTATCTATCTATCTATCTATCTATCATCTATCTATCACATGGATGTCACACTTGCAGTGTCATGTTGCCATCACGTGATATTTTGCAATGTTTTCCCATTTGTGGAGCTGGGATGGGCCTGGCCTGCACATGTTGTATCCAGCCCATGAGCTTGACACCCCCGATCTATCATCTGCCTGGACAACTTAAACACTTTTCTAAAACAGTCCCAGGGTAATTGTTTTCTATTATTCTTGTCAACATGGGTGACCTTCTTGGATAAGACACACTTGCATAATTTTTTAATTCCATGCTCCTCAGGCTATGATATTTAAGTGGCTCTCTCATGTTAAGAAATAATTGGATCCATTTCTTATTTCCTTGGCAGGGTTCACAAACTAGTGGAGGCTCCAATATTAAGGGTTGTGGTGAAGTAAGTATAGAATAGTTCATATAAAATAAGTAATATTTTATTTTGAAATAGTAACCTTTCACTTATTTCTCAAATGACATAAAGTTGTAACCCCACTCCACCATATCCCTTAGAAATGCTTATTATGTTCAAGTATCACAATGAGCGACACAATGGCCTAGAAGTGAAGACACTCGCCTCCCACACTCAGGAGGCTGAGAGTTCAATCCTAGGCAGTGACAGATGTTTCTCTATTAAGATGCAAGGAGAAAATATCAGCTGTGAACTCCTCGTAGGATTCAGGAAGGGTATCTGGCCAGTAAATGCTGAGCTCTATTCAATCACCTAGACTCCATCCCAATAAAAGGGATTACAGGATCGTAAAATGAAAAAAATAAGTATCAAGATGTTATTAATCTGCAATTTCCAAAACTGGCCATAATGAAATTGCCTGTCCTGTGAAAAAAACACAATATTGAGAATGAATAAAGCCTTGCTGTTTTCTTCCCCTGGCACACACCCTTGATGAGATTAGGAACTTCTCTTCTACTTTAATTGCAGTTTAACTTCGCTTGTCTGAACCTTAAATTGTGCGGTAACTAAGGGATGAATATGCTCCATCAAAAGTATCATTCAAAATATGAATAATGTATTGTCTTTTTTCTGTAGATAAATTTTTTTTATCTGTAGATAAAAAGCAGGGCTCTTTAAGATTAAGAAAGTTTTTTTTCAGAAATCTTTGCATTTTTCAAATTTACAATATGGGTCGGTAAAATTATAGTTGATATTTAAAAAAAACTGTTTTCTGCTTTCTTTCTCACACATTTTAATAACACCAAATGCCATTTAAAAGTGTCAGTACAACCTATTCATGCTATATCACTTCTATATCAGTCTGAGCATTTTTTTTTCCTATTTAAAGCAGTTTCAAAAGTAGTGCTTGGTTAAATTAAAGATTTCTCTTTTGCTCATGCCGTTTCTAGACTCTTTGAAGGCAATATTCCTCAATTAGAACTATTAATATGAATATATATTTAGATCACTTTTATTACCTTAGTTGTCATGACTGTTGATTATGATGATATTTCAAATCTCTTAACAGTCTCTACTAATTGTACGTAATACTAGGAAATACTTTTTTCTTTCACTTTATGTTTTATATAAATTCAGAATAATCCTAATGACAGAAGTTACACCTAATATTACTTTGGTTGTAAAGCAGTCCTTTGTTTCTTAGACTTTATCTCCAAAGTTTTTATTTATTCCTCCAACAGATCACAACTCTGCTAACATAAGAAAGGCCTTCAAGGGGAAAAAAAAAAGATTTCTATGTTTCGTTATGACTTTGTTTTCATTTCTATGCATTTGGAGAAAATCCTTTCTGAAGAAAAGGAAACAATTAGAGTACAATGGAGCGAAATATTTAACTTTCCCTTGGTTGTTGTTTTTAATTAGTGTCTTTTCTTTGAATTTTAAATTTTCTTTGAAGAAAATTTTTTTTCGAACTTGAAAAGAAGACGTTGGCTGTCTTGGATTTTTCCTGCAACAGCTTTTACACTTATTTTGCGCCCATGCTTTTCTTAACTTATGAATGGCACTACTGTTCAGCTTTTTCTGATGAATGAGTAGCAAGATTTTTATATGGGATCAATTATAAACCTTTCAAATTAGAGCTGCACACTACATTGTATACAATATAGTGTTTCCTGTACCTCTTTGCTGCCATCTAGTGGCTGTGTGGATTTCCTAGTACAGTATTCTTATTTAGGTTACAATATTCTGAGTGGATTATTGGTTTGCTTTTTGAAATTCCAGGAACTGTAATACAAGATATGGTGACTTCACCATGCTAGAGCTGTGCCTATTCTGATAGAATGAGCATTGTTTAAAAGTACCTTTTACCCATATTTTTCTGTAGTCTTTCAGATAAAATTGGCCAAGTGGGAAAAGTTAGTTCGGATGTTTTGACAATCAAGCTGTGGATAGATCTGACTGACTTTGCACTGGCATAATTTAGGACACCAAAGACCGGTTGTTTTCATTTCATTTCATTGTTATAATATTTTTACTTTAACAGAAGAACCCAAGAAACTGTAGACGCAAAAGGGCTGCATCAGCTCCAGTAAGTACACTGACTAACCAAATGGAGATTTTCTTTAAATCAGATAAAAGTAGGAAAGATTCCTGCATCAAACTAACCTGGTTTATGACTTGTGTTTTCTCTTCCACAGAATATACTTAAGACGTTGATCAATAAGATTCGGGGAAAGAGGGTATGTGCTTCTCATCACTATAAGTTCTGATTCACTTTGCTTTGTGAATGTGAGGGGTGTTTTGTTTTGTTTTTACTTTAAGCTCAGTGGTGGGATTCAAATTTTTTTTTACTACCGGTTCTGTGGGCGTGGCTTGGTGGGCATGGTAGAGGAAGGATTAAATCTCCATTCCCACCCTACTCCAGAGGAAGTATACTGTAAAATCTACATTCCCTCTCCACTCCTGGGGGAAGGTTACCATAGGTTCTCTGAACCAGTGGTGGCATTCGACTGGTTCTGCCCAGTTCTGGAGAGCCCGATAGCGGCAATAAGGAGCGGAGACGGAACCGGTTCTCTCCGCTGCTCTGTGTTTGGCCCACCTACCCGCCCAGCCTCCCATACTCACTTTTATGGCCAGAATTCGAAGTGCAGCTGCTTTGCGTGGTGCAGAATAGCACTGCGTGGCAGCTGCTGCAGCAACCAGCATCGTGTAGGCTTGCAGAAGGCGAGTTAGAATGCCTCTGCGCCTGCGCAAAGTGCACGTTTGGCATGCGCGTGCACAGCACACCCACCAAGCCACGCCCACCAAACCGGTAGCAACTTTATTTGAATACCATTACTGCTCTGAACTACTCAAAATTTCTGCTACCGGTTCTCTAGAACCGGTCAGAACATGCTGAATACCACCTCTGTTTAAGCTCTTTTGCTTTCAGATATAAAGATCTCTTTGTCAACCCTTAAGAGAAAAAGACACTATTTCTGACAATAATCAGACACATTTATTTGCTTATCCCAGTTCTGGTTGCTACTTATATTTTCAATTAACATCTTCTATTCTAATTGATTAGTGTCTAGGTTCAGAAACTACTAAGTAGCATCAGGTCTGATATGTAACTGCAGTGGGAAACCACTGAGGAATGCCAGAGTTACAGGCTGAATTGAAAAGTTTTAAAAAATCATTCAGAAAAGATAATAACCTGCTATATTTTTAATACTACAAAGTAATCTGTATCTAGAAGAGGAACTGTTGATATTGCTGGCTGATTTCCATGCTGGGGTAAAAGTTATGTTGGCACGTGTTTTATCTTCCAAAGAAGGCTTGGTCAATAATGTCATATCAGAACAGTGTATTTTCACAATCTGTTGATTTATCTCAGTAACTAGTGCATGAGCTCCCAATGATTATCTCTTGGTATAATAGTCATTACTTACTGATTAGATTTTTATAGTTTCCCAAGGCATTAAATGAAAAGAAAACTAAATAAAGAGCAACCAGAAGTGAAAAAGCACTGACAAAAATTATTTTCTTACTTTTGATTTGAACTTCAAATTCCTTTCCATCAGTCATAGAACTGCCCAAAATTCAATACACACTACAATTGTTTTCTATATGGGGAAAATATGCGTGCCCCATGGTAATAACAGAATCAAAGAAATACTTTATGACTTTTTGTCCAAAAAAATTTCAAATTATGACTTTTCCAACCAAAACAACAACTCCTATATATTCAGAATTTACAAAATGTTACGGTCTCAAAATGTTCTAACCTCAAAAGACTTGATTATGTCCGTCATTTAAACTTGGGACTGCTTGAAATAGAAGTTTTCTGCTAGTATATATTATTATATAAAAGTAAAAAGTTGAGCCTTAAGTTACTACCATATTCTTCTGCACCAAAAGAATTCAGAAATCAAAGCCTTTTTTTCTTTTTCCCTCTGCCCTGAACTTTTTTCTCTTTCCCTTTTCATCCTTATTTTTCCATTATTTTTATTTTTCTTTGTATATTTTGTATTTTATATTTTGATAAACCAGTACAATTTGTAAATGTAAAGAAATAGAAGTTTTCCACAAATGTTGAACACTACAGTATTTATGTCTTGTTTACAACATGCACTTTCAGGTTTATGAAATACGACATTAAAGACAAGAGCGGGCATTATAAATCCCACGTAGTGTGTTTTAAGGGATATATAAAATGACATTTTACAGAAGCATGAAGTAATAAATAGATTATAAACAACTATAAAGGAGCTGTGGTGGCACAGTGGTGAGAACTCAGTATTACAGGGGTTTGGTCCTGATTGGCTCAAGGTTGACTCAGTCTTCCATTGTTGGGGGCAATATGCTGATTCTGTAAACCATTTAGAGAGGCCTGTAAAGCACTGTGAAGTGGTATATACATCTAAGTGCTGATACTATAAATGGCATCAAAAGGCTCTTCCAGGCAGTCCTGCCCAAATTCATGTTATCTACCAATTATTCAGGTGGCGAAAAAGTATGCGCCAACATAAAATATACCGCTCTTACTATTGTCCCCTGTTTTACTACAGCAAAAGGCCAGCGTTGTCCTCATAGCTATTTCTAAGCATGACTAAACATGCTTCAGGAAAGAAGATAAACCTGAATTTAAAAATATAGTCCAGCTGACAGATTGCAGTTAAAGAAGTAGGATACAGAGCGAAGTGGGAGGGAACTTACCTAAAGCTTCTGATCAATGCAATCCCTCCACTACATATATGACCTGTTCACTGAAAGAGCAGGAGGAAGCAGGTAATAATTAGAATAAGTGAGTTCCATCTTATACAAGTCCTGAAAGTTGTGAATATCTAAGGAACCCAGCAAGATCCAAAAGAGGCAAACAACACGTGGATGGAGGTGGTAGGCAGTCAAGAAGCACTGAATATGGGTGGTGGCCCATATTTCTCACATAATTTGTAACAACATAATGAAGCATCTTTAATTGCTATCTTTATTTCAGAACGAACCCTTTAATTCAGAACAAATTCATGACCAGGTAAGAATTTCAGCTTCATTTTGTTTAAATAGTAAATTTAAATTGGTAAATAGTTTCTAGAATTAGGGTTTTTAAGAGCCTAATCAGATTACCATGTTAAAGTGCTATTCATCAGTTCTTGAACCAACAGAAAAGTGTGGCTTTGATTGCCTTAATAACAACACAGGCAATTACTAAGGAAATGATTGATGGGTTTTCCCAATTTCTTTCCTGTACCTGCAAAGCCTTGCCTTCTGCTTGTTTAGGAGAATGATCAGAAATCCTTCCACTAATGTGGGCAAGGTTGAGTGAGGACAAGCAAGTGCTTGAAATGTCATATTTAGGTGTTACGATGTCTGGGTGGGTTGTCTGGGTGGGTTGAGCCTGGAAAAATTAGAAGAAAGAAACCTGAGTCCCTTATCAAAATCCTATTTGCTCCACACCCAAGGCTGCAGAATGCAGACGTCTGTTATCACATAAGGGTGGGAGAAAGAAGGAGTGTTCAAATATAATGGTTTGATATAAATATGGCTTGCTTCCTAGGTCCTGCAGTAGCTGAACTTCTTTGTTATCTGACCTTCTTTGAATCTACAATTAAAGCAACCTATCTATCTGACCTTGTCCTTGATTCCTTGCTGCTAGCTCCAGAGAGCAGGTTTGAGTTCCTAGAAAGAGACTTATTTCTGTGCACGACGTGAAGCTCTGATAGCAAAACAAGTTATTCCTATTCCCAGTCCCATAGAAGAAGAGAATTCTTTTAAGACTCCAAGATTAAAACCATGGCTATCAACCTTCTTGCAAATTAACTGATGGTTATATTGGTTGCCGACCTTTTATTCCAATATCAGAATTATGGGTTGACTCAGATTGAACAAGCGGAACTGTTGTTATTGGGCTCTTGTGTGCCTCTACCAAAGATCCAGCAATTGTAGAAACAAGTTAAAAAAAACCTGACACACAACAACAGGAATCTTGGCAAATATTCTGCCTTTCTTGTTCTGTATGATTTGTACACCTCTCTAACACTTAAGGATTTTTTCCCACAAATTGCTCTCAAGATTTATAATTGGAAGGTGAATCAGAATGGGTAACTTCTCTTCTCTAACAAGGAAACCATTCCACATGAAAGTATGTTGCTGATCTCCAGTCAGGTTGCCAGTTGGAATAAAAGAGGCTTAAATGGCTAATTGGAAGCAGTACTATCAGGTAAAAGAGAGGATTACAAAGACTTTGCCTATATTAATCCAACTATGCTTGGGGATTGATGGGAGGTCTGAGGAACTGTGGCAGAGAATGGATGGGTCACCACTATTATCTCTTGTTCTATCCTTCTCTGTCAACTAATTGGACACTTTGGATGTTGAAGCCCTGGAGTTGGGTTGTACGGTGCTCACATTGACCACTTTACATGGCAATATCCTTCTCAGATCCTCAGCTCTCCCTTCCAAAACATCAACAACATCATGAGCTCTGTTAACTATTAGAGATCATAACCCAATTCCTTTCATCTGGAATTCTTCTGGATTTCACTTCTTATTCCCTGGTTTCTGGTGGCTTCAATTTACAACAGATGTGAAAGTTGATATTTTTATCATTGTATGAAGCTTCATACTACCTAGACAGCAGAACTGCTGCACTCTCCCCATAACTACAAGGATTAATGAACACAGTTTGCTTTGGACTTTATTACTCATTACCACATGTTTGCTTGGATGCCATTATAATACTACTGGACCTTTTCTCTAAAATGGCGCTTTTCATCCCTTTTTGTTGCCTTCCATACATTCCTGAGAACCACAGATTGACTGATCATTTTATTCTGGACAGAGGCCACTCAATTCACAGAACATTTTTAATGGCATTGTATCGACAATTGAATTAGTTCCACTTGTCATCCACAATCTGACAGGAATGGGAAGAACAACACTTTCTTTGCTGCATAAATGACCAACTCAAAACCTGGCCTGAGGTTTAGCTGTGGTTCAATTAATTCATGCCTCTACTCAAATGTCTTAATTTCAGGCTGTTTATGATACTGCTTGCACCTGCTGCTTGATACTTCTTGACTTCCTCTCATTCCATTTTTACCATAAACTGCAAGATATGCTGTGACTCTTCAAGGATCCTGCAAATGCCCTGCTACCCATACCAAAAGGAAGACCATTCTATTGCTGTAAGATACAACTGGCTTTCTACTAGGTTCCAGTCTTCAATGCAACTGTCTAAGAAGTTGTATGCCAAGTTTATTGGACTGTTTGTGGAACTTACATAGATCAATACCATTAACTTTTGTGTGCAGCTTCCATCTATACTAAAAGTACATTTGGTCTTTTGCCAATCCTTCCTGGGTCAAAAATGCCCCTTTTGCTCTTTGTGCACTTCAGCTCTGTCCTTTCTCTGTAAAGGAAACTGACCTGGGAAAAGGAGGAAAGCAAATGTATCAGTAACAAGAGGAACACAGAAACTACCACCCCAAACTTTTAATGGGGTGGGGGACGGGGACAATTCTGGATGAGGGAGAAATGATGACAAAGATACTGAGAACTTCTCCAATGTTTGCTAGGAAGTACCCCAGGCAAGAGAAAGGAAGGGCAGATAAATGTAATAAATGAATAATAATAACAGATGTCCCTTAAGGTGGGGAAATTTTGTCTGCTCTACATGATAAATAGGGAGGGAGGGAGGAAACAGGGAAGTAAAATTAGCCTATCCCACATGAGAGTAAGAGAGAAATAGCAATGTCCAGATCCCAGGGAGAAAAGTAATAGTGTGGGGACTGAAGTTGACAGGGCCAGAAGCAATGTGCAGGTGTTTTACACATCTAAGACTGAGAAATTGCCACATAAGTGTGTAAAGAAGAGACATGATATTTAAGCACTGGCTTTGTTACAAATGTATTTTGATTTTTAGACCCTCTGTAATTGTTCTTTGTTGTTAAAGCTATTCTGGTGTCTTCAATAAAAGCAATTTATCTATTCACACTTGTCCTTGATTCTTTGTTACTAACTCCAGAATACAGGTTTGCGTTCTCGGGAGATTCATTTCTGAATTATGGTGGAGCTCTGCAGAGCTTTGATCTTGCTTAGTGATGCAAGAGAATGGAAACAGGCAGCAAGACAGCAAGTCCTTGTAGGGAGGAGTACCCAGAATAGCTTGTGAATGGCCATTAAAGAGGAATATAGCAGGGAAAGGGAAATGATGCTTTCCAACCACATTAAAGTATGGAAAGTATGGTTATATAAAATCCCTTGTTGGAAAAACTGTGGAAAAATATATTGTGCCCTGTGCTGGAAAACCAGCAAAAACCTATTGGAAAAACCTAGTTCTTCGTAGCTTAAATCTATCTTGTATGGAGTAGAAGGTAGAGTTAAGACCTTTAAACAGAGGTCTTTCAGAAGAGCACTAAACCAATGATTGAAAGCAAGTCTAGCACTCTTTCAAAAAGAGCATTAAACCCATGTTTATAAAGAGCCCACATTAGATCTGAGAAGTCCTTCAGAAAGCACTGGTCAGTGTTTGAGCCTTTGCTTCTGCCAGACGTCTGGGCTTTCCAACAATCTGGCCAAAATGGCAATAAAATGGTTCCCAACAAACAGAATAACCTAGAATGGCCAACAGGAGTTGGTCAAAATAGTGTCCCTCAACTGCAGCAATTTACACCCTCAGTGAATCATGCCAGATTGTGCCCATGGCCAAAAAATTTTTGGGAGAAGAGGTAAATTTTATTTTGAAACTGGTATGGCTAAAGATGGTGTTTAGCTGCCTTTACTGGGTTCAGATGAAGATACAGTTGAAAGGATGTGGAATAATAAAAAAAAATATGGGGCATGTTTATACAGTGGTTAGAGAGGATGGAGGATGAGCCCTTTGGGACTCTAATCTGCTGTTGTAGTGAAGATCTTCTGAACCGAAGGGTGGGAAACTGGATTATTTATTCCATTTGAGAACCTTCCTCTTTCCATCTTAAGATGGTACCTATTTACCTGTGGCTAAAACTGCTTAACACAACAGATTGCCATTCACAACTCTTTGGAGTGTAAAAAGTCCTTGGAAAGGGAGGGAAGAAAGAAGGAAGCAGAAGAAGCTCCAATGACTATTGTTTGCCAGGTCCAGCTGTTGAACATACTTTGCTGTTCCTTCTTTGCTCTTGAATAGAGAAATGTTGTGGGAGAGAAAGTAAAGATTTAATAAAAGCAACAACCACACTTTCCGAACCCTCCCCCAAAAAAAAACTGAAATAGAACGGACGTACCAGGAAGCCAAAAAAGGAGTTTTGTATGAACCAACAGAGATTGGTTGTTCCCTCTTCCCTACAATTCTGATATTATGGTACAATCTGGGCATCAACACACTTCCCATCAGGTCAAAGAAAGGGAAAGAATCAAACTCATATATAAATGTATATCATATACTCTTTTTTTAGTGGAAGGTGTCCTCTTTCTGTGAGGTAGAGAGTATGATTATTTTCTTTCAGATGCCCTTACTTGTACTGAAGTAATTTATATTGACCTTTTACAGGATAAAAACTTTTCGGATGATAGAAACAATCATCCACAGGTAAGGATTTCCTTTTCATTACTTTTGACAGGATGATGATCCCTTACAAATTCTGTTATCAGTGGTGATTCCCAACCATTTGATAAAAGTCTTTTATAGTTAGATAAAACCAGATTTCAATATTTGAAGTTTTTAAAGTTGTAATTCAGGGCATGCCCTTTTCAATTTGGTAACAATACATTTTAACAGATATATCCAGGTTTCACACATATATTGTTAGTTTAGGCATTATAGATTAAATACTGATATTTTGAAAATGAGATTTTGAAAAAAATGTAACATTAGGCTTAAAATCCATGGATAAATATAGATGTAGCATTCAAAAAGCAGTGAAAGTGATCTGGAAGAGCTCTTGCAATTGCATTCAGTGCACATAAATATATGCTTCTCTATGCCTAAACTCATAAAAGAAGCATTTTAGATTTTAAAAAGTTGCAGCTTTATTTTTAAGAAGTTCTTCACAATCTTATGTAATCCTACATTAAAAAAGTGATTTATTATCTCCTTATAGGATGGATCATGTATGGCAAATGCATACAATCTGGTTAACGTATTTCTGGATTGTAATCATTAACTTATACAGGTAGTCCTTTCATTTAGTGACTGTTCAAAGTTATAACAGCACTAAAAAAAGTGACTTACAACTGGTCCTCTCACTTATGACTGTTGCAGCATTCCTACAGTCATGTGATCAAAATTTGGGGACCTGACAATCAACCTGTATTTATGACAGTTGCAAAGTCAACAGGGAACCTAGATTGGCTGAGTGACTGCATGATTCATTTAACAAATGCAGTGATTTGCTTAACAATCATAGCAAAAAAAAAGTTTGTAAAATAGGACGTGACTTATTTAACAACCACATTGCTTAGCAATGGAAATTCTGATCCCAATTGTGTCCTAAATCAAGGACTATCTGTATAACTTGAGAATAAACAGGAATTTTTATGCTTGTTTCTAGTCCTTCTTGCAAAAGATCAGCCTATTTATTCAATTGTCTTTGGGCTCACTCTGGGTCTTTCAGGGCAATCTTTTATTGTGATTTTTTCCTATTGCATTCATAAAATTTTATTTGAATCCTAGACAGTTCTGTCTTTCCTGTGTAATTCTACCATGCTTTCCCAATTTTTCTTCATGGTTTTTAAGTAAAAAAAAAAACCCCAGTAGTGTTGCATAAAGAAATAAGGAACATCTCCACAATATCTTTTATTTGATATCACTGATCATCTCCCTTAAGAGCTTAATGCAGAGAATTTCTGTCTCAAATACTTGATAATGTATATTTGGCATTGGAAGAGGTTACAGTTGATTTTTTTATGCTACCCTTCAATTTAGAGGAACTGGGTGCAACAGATTTTGGTTACCATTGTATTTACAACGTTTTATGTCATTTGTATAATGATGTCATTACCCAAATGACAAGATCGGTGCAAGTAATATAATTTGGATTGGGCACATAATAATGTTATTGCAAATGACATTCTTTCCAATTTAATAGACAATCAGAAATAATGGACACCCACTCCCTGCAATTAGTCCCTGAGAGAAGATTTCATTGTATGTGGAAATTCAAGCGTTTTATTTGAATGTATTGACAAAAGAATCAAGCTTCAAGCTTTCTCTAAAAAACTTTTACAGCTGTGCAGTGCTAATTCCTCCCTAAAGTTCTGATTAGTCCCCTCAATTTCTTTCTCTCTTTTTTTAAGCAACAGTGAATTATTTTGAATGCAGTTTTATCTGCAGTTGTCATTATTTGGTTCCTCACCTTTGAGAGAAATAATATTTTTGCCAGCTCTTGAATTTTATTATTTTTTTTCCTCATGGCCGTCTAACATTTTGAGAATTTTTTTATCAATAAACAATACTTTTATCAATAAATAAAGGTAGAAAAACATTTTTGTTTATGGGGGCTGCATTTTTTTCCTATTGACATCTAGAATTTGCGAGGCTTGGAGTGATATTTCCAGAGAGCACAAGTCTCTAGTTTGCTCATTTCTAAGGGTGGAATTGGATATTAAAAGCAAAAAAATACAATGAATAAAGAAGAGGTGAAAAGCATCTTTTCTAACCCTTATTTTAATAAAACCATGAAAGTCGGCAATACTGAAAATGTATTCCTGAATATTGACAATAGCATCTTGGAAAAAGATTCTGAAGGCCATAAAAATTAGATTGCAGATCCTTTGTATAAAACTTAATTGCTGAAACAGCCTGCCAATTGCAGACTTCAAAGCACAATTTTAGGTCTGTTGTAGTTATAATTAGAGGTTTCCTTCTATAGAAGGAGTAATTTCTTGTGTTTTTCATAGTTTCTAGTTCAATCAAGCTAGCACTAGAGAAAAACAGTTGATGGACTATTGTCTTGTAATAATCAGGTCCTATAATCTTCTATTTCCTATTAAATTCCTGCAAGTTGAAATAACTTGTTCAACCTGGTTTAATTCCAGTCCCTAAATTGGCACTAGGTTAGATTAACATGAAATAACATTTAAGAACAGATATTTTATATTAAAACATTACACAGTGTTTGATTTCTTACAGCAAAGGTGAAACTAATTGTTTGCATTTTTACAGATTCAGTGTGTGTGTCCTAGTACACAGGTAATCTATTTACCTTTCATGCTGCTCCTTACTGTCTCAATAGCATTGTCACAATTGATAACAAAATGTCTTTTGTCATGTGCTCACTTTTGCCTACCAGATGTTAAGTTCTTGCTTTATTGTTTTTAACGAGATCCCTTTGCAAGCCAATGTACATGCAAGCAAGCAAACAATAAATTTTGAATGGATATCTAACCCACTATATAACACACCTATAAAAATCACCTTTGCTCTTTAGAAGATGACTTGGGAGTCATCAGCTACAGTCACATGCTACAGTTTTATATTAATTTTGTTTGCAAAAGACACTCAATTAATATGTATATTTTTGTTCTTACTATTCTCAAAGTTTTTTGCTACCCAATTGTAAATCCGAGAAGGTAGACCTGGATCCTTTAATAATCTCTCGTCTGAACAATGTCTGACAAGATGCAGCTAGTGCTAGCAGAAACTAAGTCACCCAAATCCACTGTGAGTGGTGACCTCAAATCTTAGAAATGACCATGTCCCATCCAAGTTACTTTAAGAATAATCCAACTTGATGTGGCATTTTCACATCCAAAGTGATATGTACAAAAGTAAAGTTGTATTTTCTCATGAGAACAATCAACCAATGGAACAGCTTGCCCTCAAAAGTTGTGGGAGCTTCATCACTGGAGGCTTTCAAGAAGAGATTAGACTGCCATCTGTCAGAAATGGTGTAGAGTCTGCTATTAAAATAAAAGATTGATACCTAAATCCTGATTCTTTGTAGAACCTATCTACATATCCAATAACTAACTAGGAGATCGGTTATAATTTTTATGCATGTTTGTAGTGATGTTAAGGTGACCTTTTTGGTGAATATATCTGAATTAGTCAAGCATATATTCCAGATGGATAGAGGTTAATGTACTAGATAATTCCCATTTCTCCCCTCTTTTACACCAAAGTAGCACTCTTTTGGCAATAAAAGAAAGGAAAGGAGACAGATGATGAATTAAGGAGCAATTAATCATGAACTCTCTACTGAATAGGAAGTAATGAAACTAGACTTTTCTTTGCTAAATAGAAACTACCAGTATCAATGGCACCCTATAGAAGGCAGTAGTTATGGGTTGTTGCCTTTATTCAGTGCTGTGGGAAACCTTTGTTTGTTTGAAACCACTTCCTACTATTGCTTTAAAATCTATGCAGCAGGAGAATTCAAGTTTGTGTGCAAACAGAATTAGTATATATGAGGTATATGTATATAGAATGTTTTGAGACTTGGAGAAGCAAATAAGCCCTACTAAGAGAGTAAGCATATATTATATGTTAATGTTCTATAGATTGTATAGAAAGAACTTCATAATCATTTCTGTTCTTAGGTTTAAAAAAAACATAGCGAAAATAGTTTAAAATAGAGATTCTTATGGAACAAATGTTAAAGATATCTAAAATGTTTTAAGACGGCATATTATTTTAACAACTTTCTGAAGGAATTATTATTTTCTTCAGAATGAACAAGTTGGATCAGATGGAGGCAACAATCAATCTGAACAGGTAAAATATTACATATAGGTAATCCTCGACTTATGACTTATAAGTCATTGCGGTTGTTAAGTGGGTCACCAAGTGACTGGACCCTATTTTATGACATTTTCTGCAGTGATCACCAAGACAAATTCCTTGTGTGTCCAACCATACTTGGCCAATAAAGAATTCTATTCTATTCTACTCACTATGGTCATTGAGTGAACATACTGGTTGTTAAGAAAAATCCATTTTATCCAATTTCATAATGCTGATTTCGCCAACTTGGATCCCTGGTGTCTGGATGTATTGGTAGTGGAAGACAGAAGAGGGGAAAAAAAACTAATTAAAAAATTTGCCAAGTCCCAAGCTGGAAGAGGCTCAGGGTGGCCACACTCTAGAAGCCCTCCAGATATAGGTATCTATTAGGATAAAGAGTTATAGCTTTAATTTAGCAAGATTCTGTCCTTTTGGTGTAGGCAAATAAAGAATTGGACTCAACTGGATTTTGCTCTGTCGTCTTTGGGCCTGAGCCTGATACTATGTGATATATATCATGGTAATATAGAGATGTCAAAATCAGCCTAAAATAATATCACTTACTTTGTAGCCTCCAGAAATTTTCTCTTTCTTTTGTAGCCTCCAGAAATTATCTTTCTGTAGTTTATTACAAAAGGGCTCAAGGTACCTGCCTATTTTAAACTTGTATGATTTGTCATATTGCTAGCAGATCAGTTTCTGAAGAGTAACAATCTTGACAACCTCTAGGTGGCAGCAAAGTGATATAGAAACTCTGTTTCCATCTAGTGGACCAATGGTTTTATTTAGCCAAGGTAGAGTAGCTCTAATAAAGGCAAAGTTTATAACCTGCAGGCCTAATTTTCTTCATTTTCAATATAAATGATAAGATGTCCTTAAAAACCAACAATTTTCTATCTCTCACCACATCCTACAGATTTTATTTTTATTTATAATTTAAATAAAAATACAAAACTCCATTTTAAGTTTCTTTCTGGTCTAAGAAAGCTGACATGAGAAATCTATAAAAGTTTGTTAGGCAAATATAATATTTCAGCAATGAGACATTTTAAAATAATAACTGGGTTTTCTTCCACAGGGTGGATATGGTGAATCATATGATGGCAACCAATATGGACAGGTAAAATATAACTTGTATCTTCTATGGTTGTAGATAGTAAAAATAAAATAAGTGTTAGACTTATTCAGTTGCTTTAATTCAGCTACATGAATTTATTTAATAAATAAAATATTTGCTTCAAAGTTTTTATTTTGTCTGTTGTATGTCTTTCCAGATAAATAACAACTGAAAGAATAAATACAAAAATATTTATAATAAATAAATAAATAAGTAAGTAAAATAAAAAAACCTCCCTAAACTACTTTAATTTAAAAGTTTAAAAGACAACCACAGGATTCTACTACTCTGCAGTATTGTGCTGCAAGCTTTACCCCTTTTGGAAATAAATAGAGGTTTGTTACAACTCTTTTCTCCAAAACCAAAGAAGGCTTGAAACATCTGATCAAAAGGATTAAAACAGACAGTGAGAAATTTGGCCTCTTCTGAACATCAAAAACACTGAGATCACAACCACTGAGAGGAACAGAAATGTCAAAATAACACTTGGTGGTAAAAAGATCAAATGTGCATAAGAATCTACTTTCCTCGAATTACAGATTCATCAGTGCTGTCCAGATATAGTGTTGAATCACATTGGGTCTCAAAGCAATGACAAGCATGAATAGGATATGAGAAAGAAAAGACAACAACCTTGCAAATAAATGCAAATTAGTCCTCACTATTATGTTTCCCATAGCTACATACAGTGGCAAAAGTTGGACTGTGAAAAAATTAGACTGGAGGAAAATTGACCTCTCTCTCTCTCAGTTCAACTTACCTCACAGGACTGTGGTGGGGAAAATAGGAGGAAGGAGTATTAGGAATATCCGTTGCTTTGTTTTTGCTGTGGTGTTGGAGAAGCCCCCTGCATGTTCCTTGGACAGCAAAAGTAACAAACAAGAAGGCAGAGAGAGACACTTTTGTCTAATTAAGCCACCAGACTAGAAACCAGGAGACTGTGAGTTCTAGTTCTGCCTTAGTCATGAAAGCTGGCTGGGTGTCTTTGGACCAGTCACACTCTCTCAGTTCAACTTACCTCATAGGACTGCTGTAAGGAAAACAGGAGGAAAGGAGTATTCAGTAAATTCATTGCCCTGAATTATTGATAGGATATAAATAAATAAATGAGGGTAGGATATAAATAAATAAATGAGAGTGAATACTGGACTGTAGAAAACCAAACATATCACTGGAAGTCAAAGTCTTAAAATTCCACTTTAGTTATTTCAGCCACATCACGCAATATAAAATCTACTGGAAAAGGCAGTTATGCTTTGGAGTGGTAGATGATAAGAGGAAATGAGACTTCAAAAATCACTTTCAAATGGACTACATGTGGCCAGACACCATCAAAGCTGAGACCAACGAGAGCATAAAACCAGTGAAAGAAGATCTATAAGTATGGAAAATGTTGCCAAGAATCAGATGCAACTGAACGGATGTCATCATTGTCATTGTCATCATCATTATCACAAGTAGAGTAGATAGCATATGGGTAGGTCAAGAGAACATTTAAAAACCTATGTAAAAATCTTTTAAAATTGCTTAAATATATCAAAAATAATATATAATAAAAAATAAACTCAATCCTTATTTCTGATCCTAAGCATAAAGAATGTCTTAATGCAGATATAGTAAGGAAGTAGTGAATTTTAACAATAATGATTTATTACTGTTTCCTGTTTAGAATGCACAATATGTGGGCAGCCACCAGTTTGGACAGGTAAAACTCATTCTGCTTATTTCTGCTCTGAAATATATTGTGTCTGCTTCAAAAGATATACACACAAATATCTATCCATTGTATAACTTTAAAATATATTACGAAATCTTGACATACATATAAATAGCAATAGCCCTTAGGCTTATATACTGCTTCATAGTGCTTTACAGCCCTCTCTAAATGGGTTGCAGAATCAGCACATTGCCGCCAACAATTTGGGTCCTCATTTTACTGACCTCAGAGGGATGGAAGGCTGAGTTAACCTTGAGCCGGTGAAGATCAAACTTCAGGCTGTGGACAGAGTTAGCCTGAAATACTGCATTCTAACCACTGTGCCAGCAGTGGTTCATATTGATTTTTAAAATAGATATTGTGGTAATGATCCAAATGGACAGGTGTATGATGTAGAAAATATACCATATATACTTATGGATACATTCATACACAGATAAATCAACCCCTGATTTTTAATCAAAATACCGGGTACTTTTAAAAAAGTATTGCAGTATAGGCAGCCTTCGACTTGCACCTATTTGTTTAGTGACTGTTACAACATCATTGAAAAGTGACTTAGGACCAGTGGTGCAATTCAAAAACTTTTACTACCAGTTCTGTGGGCGTGGCTTGGTGGGCATGGTGTGGCTTGGTGGGTGTGGTGTGGTGGGTATGATATGTGGTGTGGTGGGTGTGGCAGGAGAAGGTTACTGCAACATCTTATTCCCTCCCTACTCCACCAATCTGCTTTCCAGCTCCGTTCTCCTGTGGAGGGCAACAAAAGAAGACCCAGTCGGTCAGCTGAGAAGGCAGAGAATAGATGGGGGAGGGGCCAGTCAGAGGTGGTATTTGCCGGTTCTCTGAACTACTCAAAATTTCCGCTACCGGTACTCCAGAACTGGTGAGAACCCGCTGAATACCACCTCTTCTTGGGATTGTTTTAAACTTACAACCGTTGCATTATCCCCATGGCCAAGTGATGAGAATTCGGATGTTTGGCAGCTGGCATGTTTTTATGACAATTACAGTGTCCCGGGGTCATGTGATCACTTTTTGTGACCTTCTGACAAGCAAAGCCAATAGAGAAGCCAGATTCCCTTAACAGCCATGTTACTAACTTTACAAGTGCCGTGATTCACAACTGTGGCAAGGAAGGTCATAAAATGAGGCAAAGCTCACTTAGCAACAAGAAAATTGGCCTCTACTCTGGTTATAAGTACAAGGATTACTTGTAATATGCTCATGAATAATGAGTATCCATCAGTGAATAAGATAAGCCCAGTTTAAACTCAGTATTTTTGCATCTAAAATTCTTAGTTGAGTATATATAGTATGCATTAATAAACATGGAGATATAAACATTAATAACTGGGCACGTTTATATTCAGAAATATAGAAAACAGTTTTCTCCTCATTAATGAGAAAACTTTTCTGTAAAGAATGGAGTGTTTAAAAATAACAGTAGCAGCCAATTGGAGCCAAGCAACAACTGTTTATAATGTAGCTGTAAAACTTATCATTGTTAAACAGTATACAGGTAATCCTCACTTAATTACTGGTTGCTTAGTGACCATTCAAAATTACGACAGACCCCCCCCCAAAAAAGACATCTATGACCCAATTTCCAACAGCTGCAATCTCCTCCATCCCACAGTTTGGAAACCAGCTTGCATTTCTGATTGTTTGCTGTGTCCCATGATCACATCAGTGGTGGTATTCGACCGGGTCGGCCCAGTTCCAGTGAGCTGGTAGGAGCGATGAGCAGCGGAGATCGAACCGATTCTCTCTGCCGCTCGGCTGTTGTGCCCACCCGCCCGGGCTCCCATATTCATTTTTATCTGCTGAATTTGAAGCGCAGCTGCTTTGCGCAGCACAGAATAGTGCCGCGTGGCAGCTGCTGACGTGACCGGGATGGTGCAGGCTTGCAGAAGGCAAGTTAGAACGCCTCTGTGCCTGTGCAAAGTGTGCATTTGGCATGTGCGTGCACGCAAAGTGTGTGCATGTGCACAAAGCGTACCCACCAAGCCACGCCCACCGAACCAGTGGCAACAATATTTGAATCCCACCACTGGATCACATGACCATGATATTCTTTGTTTTTTTGCCAGTTTCTGCCATTTACTTCTGGTTTCCAGCAAAACAACCCAATTTGTGTAATAGATTTGTTTAACGACCATTTCATTCATTTAACGATGGGCTCAATTAAACTCATATGTAATGGACAACCTGTATTTGAGAGGTAGACAAAATTAAATGAAATATTACTTTGACTTCTGAATGCAGCAAATATTGTTTTAAGTTCTCAAGATTATTACGGTATTTCTAATTAATTCTCATTTTCTTACAGGGAGGATCATATAGTGGCAGTAGCAGCCAGGTAAAAATGGCTGTGTGATGTAGTGCATGTGTATAATATTTGCTATGTTTATTTATCATAGACTTGTAGAAATGAAATAAAATGAATAAATAGTTTAGTTCTGCTCCTGAAAATTCTACATAATATTTTATGTAGATAATTGTAGCAAAAATGGTGTAGTAGCAGAACTAAGCTATTTATACATTTTATTTCATTTTTATAAATATATGATAAATAACCATAGCAATTTTATAATATCTAACTCCTTAATTAATAGATAACTGTTAAATTATCATATGGAAAAGAAAGTAAACATTTTCAGCTTATTTCTACTACAGAATATAGCAAGGAGCTATATGCTTAATTAAAATAATTATTTGGTAATCAATAATATTTTTACCAAGAAGATCAAAAGGTGCTAGGAGCAACCAATATGACCTCTACGAACTATTGTATAATATAGTATAGGTATATAATATTTACTGGGGTTATCCATAGTACAGTTGTCATCAGGGGTAGGATTCAACATTTTTAACAACCGGTTCTGTGGGCGTGGCTTAGGTGGTGGGCGTGGCTTGGTGGTCATGTGACTGGGTGGACATGGCTTGGTGGTCATGTTATTGGCTGGGTGTGGCCAACTCAATATCACTCACATCGAGGCACGCATCTCCTCGCCTGGCCTCTCATGACTTTGGGTATGCTGCAACAGTCATAAGTGTGAAAAATGGTCAGAAGGCACCTTTTTCAGTGCCATTGTAACTTTGAATGGTCACTCCACACAAGCAAAGTGCCAGCAAAGGAGGGGGAACAAACTCCGGAGAAGTTCCTGAGACAGGAAGTCTAGTCCTGCCAAGAATGTAATAAGGGTTAACGGAGAGGCAGTTTCTGTAAGCAACACCAGAATGTTTCCTTCCTGCCTTCCTTACAGGATTAGGCCGGTAATTTCTTCTAACAACTGGTTCTCCGAACTGCTTAGAATGTTAACAACCAGTTCTAGCGAATAGGTGCGAACTGGTAGAATCCCACCCCTGGTTGTCATATAGAACACAAAGTTTTTCAATTTACTTCAGGTTCTGAATATTGTGCTGTATTAAGGTGGCTGCAGGTAGTCCCCAAGATATGACCCTAATGGACTTTGCCTATTAGGATCATAAAATGAATTGGATTCATTTTTACAATGTTTTTTTACCACATTCATTAAGTGAATCAATCGGGTCATTAAAAGAATGAAGCTTGGCCTTGCTTTGGTTCATTAACCGATCTCTGCCATCGTTCAATGAACCAAGAGGCTTCAGAATCTGCAGGACTCCCAGGTGGGGCCTCTGAGGAAACATCAGCTGTTCTGGCAAGGTGAGAAGCACAGTGACTCCAGGCAGAAATTGAGGTGGGAGGATAAATTTGCAGGAATCCACGTGGAATTAGAGCACGAATGTCAAACTCGCCAAGTCACATTGTCATCATGTGATGTTTCGTGATGTTTTTCCCCTTCACGGAGCTGGAGTGGGCATGGCCTACATGTGACACATCTGGCCCATGGGTCACCAGTTTGACACCCCTGCTCTAAAGGGAACTGCTGCCAGCTGCTCATCACCTATTCTACCAGCAATCTACAGCCATACTCACTCATCCTCGTTGTGATGAACTGGAGCGTGACACAAAAATAACAGTCACAAAAGTAGAATAAATTCCCTTTAATGCCTCCAACTTGGGCCCCAATGACCAATTATCCTTGGCTTGATATCAAACTCTTCCAAAAACAGTCTACGAAGACAGTAAATGCAGTCCGAACCAAAAGTAAAGATAATTAGAAATTTAAAAATCCAACACAAACCACACTGGAGTCATTAACACAGCAGGCCAGGATGATAAATTGCAGACTTCCACAAGATAATGCAGCAACCACAGTTGGGAAGGTGCCAAAACCAAGATAATGCACGGTTTGCTTCAAGCAAAGAGCTATTTAAAATGCCCCATTTATATCCTGTTCTCCCAGCTGCATCTAATGAAAGGGATCAGGGCTTTTTCCTCTTCCATAAGCCATGTTGCTCCCTTCTCCATTCCTCCCTGCATGCCCTAGGATGAAGAGGGGGTGGCCCTGAGTCTTCCTCTGAATGCCCAGCCAGACTGTGCTCTTTCCCCGTTTCTTCCACAGCCACCGGAGCCACATTCCCACTCCCTGTCAGCTTCTCAATCTCCCCTTCAGAATCAGACTCCAACAAAGGCATGACACTCATATGCAAAAGCAAACAAACACACAGTACAGCAGAATACAAAGGACCATTCTGCAAGCAATCTCAAAATACCTGCAAACCAACAGTACAGGTAGTCCTTGACTTACAAACCTTCGTTTAGTGACTGTTCAAAGTTACAACATCACTGAAAAAAGTGACTTCTGGCCATTTTTCACACTTACAACCGTTACAGTATCCCCATGGTCATGTGATCAAAATTCAGGTCCTTGGCAACTGACTCACATTTATGACCATTGCAGTGCCTGGGGGTCCCCTTTTGCCACCTTGTGACAAGCAAAGTCAATGGGGAAGCCAGATTCACTTCACAACCGTGTCGCTGACTTAAAAACTGCAGTGATTCACTTAACAACTGGGGCAAGAAAGGTCGTAAAATGGGGCAAAGTTCACTTAACAAATGTCTCACTTAACAACAGAAATGTTGAGCTCAATTGTGGCCATAAATCGAAGACTACCTGTATAGTAGAATGCAAAGGAATTTTACAATGCCAAATCTGCTTTCTGAGACACGAGCTAGTAGTTCTGCAAGCAATTCTAAGGCAATGCTAAAAAAAACACCTTCTAAATACTAAAAAAAATCATGTAATACTTACAAACAAGCACAATAGTCTGCAAAATACTTACAAACAAGTACAGTGTTATAATGAAAAAGAAAACAGTAAAGTACTTACAAAGCTAACAGGAATACTCTAGTTCTTGAGACAAGAACGAGAGAAGCAACTGGAGTAGCAACAAGAGATTCACACTTCTCTAGTCCTCTATTTGGCAGCAGTGGAGGTCGGGGGGAAGCACACTGGATGCAAAATCCTCGATCTTAGTTGATCAGAGTGTGCAGATTCAAAATTTTTACTACCGGTAAGGCGTGGCAGGGAAAGATTACTGCAAAATCCCATTCCCTCCCCACCCCACTAACCTGCTTTCCAGCTCTGTTCTCCTGTGCAGGGCAACAAAAGAAGACTTGGGAGGCAGAGAATAAATGGGGGCGGGGCCAGTCAGAGGTGGTATTTGCCACAACCGGTTCACCAGAACTGGTCAGAACCTGCTGAATACCACCTCTGGTCAAGTGACCCAGAGAAAAGAAATGTATCAACCATATGGACCTCAGAAATTACCTGTGCTGGTGACAAAGGGCAGTCAAGGCCACCTGGCTGTGGCCACTGCTTCAGGAGTGACTGAATCCAGGTCACATGATTGCAGAGGGCCTCTTGTTGGTCACAATTTTGAGGTGCATTCATAACTTCAAACAGTCATTAAGCAGCCATTTGTACCTCAAGGATTCTGTGTATTTTGTCATTTATTTACAAGGAGAATCATATGGTGGTTGTGACAGCGGCCGCCAATGTAGCATCCATACAAAAACTCTACTAGTGTATGTATACTATAACATTTATGGTATGTTTACCACATATAAAATAAAATAAAGGACGTGGCTCCTGAGGCAAAAATGAATATAGGCAGCAGTTTTGTGCTTTGTTAAGGTGATAATGTTATAATTAATAAATATTTTCTTAAAGGGAGGATCACAAAGCAGCAGTAGCAGCAGCAGTAGTAGCAGCAGTAGCAGCAGCAGTTCTTATGGGAGCCAGGTAAAAACAACTTTATAACTTTATTTGTTTATAATGATACATATAGCTCAGTGGTAGGATTCAAATTTTTTTACTACTGGTTCTGTGGGCGTGGCTTGGTGGGCGTGGCAGGGGAAGGATGCTGTAAAATCTCCAGTCAGAGGTGGTATTTGCTGGTTCTCCGAACTACTCAAAATTTCCGCTACCGGTTCTCCAGAACTGGTCAGAACCTGCTGAATTCCACCTCTGATATAGCTATAGATACATCCTACAATGTATTTACAGACACACATGTACATACATACATTTGTAGGTAGTCCTTGCTTACCGATCATCATTAGTACCGGCAACCCTGTTGCAAAGCACCACAAACGCTAAGTGAAATATCATGTGGCGATGTCATATCACGAAATATCGTATCGCGAAATATCATATCGCGAAACATCACGATAAATGACCTGCTTCCATTATGACATGAATCACAAGGTGGCTAAGTGTGACATCACATGATTGTGACTTGCAATTTCACTTCTATGTTCTCCATTACTTCTGCTTGTTGGAACGTAGTTGTGAAGCTCGGAAATGGTGATCACATGACCACAGGACTCTGCCACAGTTGTAAATGTGCACGGGTTGCAAAGTGCCTGAATGGCGATTCCATTGACACTATGAGGGCTGTAAAGGCGAGGATTGGTCACAAAGCTGTATTTTCCAACTATAACTTTAAACATTCACTAAATTTTAAACAGCACTACTTGTGCTGTTGGTAAGTGAGGACTACATGTGTGTGCATGTGTGTACATGTATATGTATATATTGTATCAGTGGTGGGATTCACATTTTTTTACTACCGGTTCTGTGGGCGTGGCTTGGTGGGCATGGCAGAGGAAGAATACTGTGAAATCTCCAGTCAGAGGGGGTATTTTCTGGTTCTCTGAACTTCTCAAAATTTCCGCTACCGGTTCTTCAGAACTGGGCAGAACCTGCTGAATACCACCTCTGTATTGTATGTAGTATATCTACAATAAACATGTTATTTTTGTATACTATATAGAAAATATACTATTAAATATACTATATGAATGTATATTTAGCTTATAGGAAATAAAATCTGGGGGGAAGTTTTGTTCTGCTTCTGAATATAGCAAGGAACAGTGTGCTTTATTAAGATGAATATGTTATAATAAATGTGGGATATAAATAAACATAAATTACAAATACTGTGTTTTCTAAAGAGAAAGAATCCTATGATGGTGGCAACAGTCAATAGAACAACCATGTAAAATATGGTAACCATGGTAAAAGATTACCATGACAAATATTATATACATAATCTGTAATAACATAAAATCAGTTGTTTTTTATTCAACCTATCTTTCCTCCTAAAGATAGAAGGTTGCTTTGCATATTATTAAAGTAGTTATTTTGTAATTAATAAGTATTTGCTTACAGGGCAGGCCATATGGTGTCAACCAATATAACGGCCAGGTAAAAATTAGATTCTAATATTTGCCATGGTTATATATATTGCACATTCTATATATTTTAGAATATACTTGTATTCCAAATATAATGTATATTCAAATACATTTTGGAATGTAAATAAAGATTTTTGGCCCCCGAATATATACAGTAATTTGGGCTTCATTAACTGAATTATTTTATAATAAGTATCTTCTTACAGGGAGGATCACATAGCAACAGCAGCAGCAACAGCAGCAGCAATCATTATGGCAGCCAGGTAAAAATAAATACTGTAATGTTTTAATAGTGATTCAGATAGGATATTTGTGATATTTTTATTGATCTATACATAGAGATAAGCATATAAAATATTTGCCATGGATATCTACTATATATATAAAAAACCATTCTGGCACAGCAGTAGGCTAGCCCCAAATTTAAAACTGAAACGGCTGTGAAAGTCTGACTCACAGACGAACACAATACAGAAGCCTGAGGATGGCAGATGAGATTCTGCCGAAACGTTGCTACGACTTTAAAAGCACAACTATAATGACATGGGAAAATACCCCAACAAAGCTGAATACCATATCTATATCTATATCTATATCTATATATATATATATCTATATATATATATATATATATACACACACACACACACACACACACACACATATACATATACATATACATATACATATACATATACATATACATATATATATATATATATATATATATATATATATATAAAAAACGTATGAAAACAAATCTGCCTTACTTCTGCTTCTGAATATAGCAGAGCTTTGTGCTTTATTAAAGCAATTATTTTATAATTAATAAGGATTTCTTTGCAGAGAAGAAATTTATTTTATTTGCTCCTTTTTGCCCTTTACTTTTTCCAAGAAAATGGGATCATTGTAACCTTAACACACTTAGAGTAAATAAAATAAAATATATTTTGCTTATTTTACTTCTACTCCTGAATGTAAAAAAGCAGTGTTGTGCTTTATTAAAATGATAATTTTATAATTAATAAGCATTTTCTTACAGGGAGGATCATATAGCAGCAGTAGCAGTAGCAGCAGCAGCCATTATGACAATCAGGTAAAAATTACTTTATAACATTGTGTGTTTATAATGACATAATATAGATCTACATTTACATATGTAGATCAGAGGTGGTATTCTGGAGAACCGGTAGCGGAAATTTTGAGTAGTTGAAAAAACTGGCAAATACTACCTCTGACTGGAGATTTTAAAGTATCCTTCCCCTGCCACGCCCACCAAGCCACGCCCAAAGAACTGGTAGTAAAAAAATTTGAATCCCACCACTGATGTAGATATATACTACCGTGTTTCTCACAAAATAAGGCCGGGCCTTATTTTTTTTTGACCCCCGAAAAAAATGGCTAGGCCGTCTTTTCGGGGGTGACTTAATTTCCCCCCACTTGCATCCTTGGGCGGGCGGGCAGCGACGGCTTGGATGTTGATCTCGGCATTGGTGGGACACTTTGTATCGGGAGACCTTCTGCCACCGTTGCTTTCCCTTCTCCCCGTGCTGCCGTGGCGATTAGAGCAACGCCACGGCGTTTGGCACAGCCACGGGGCATTTGGCGCAGCCACGCAGGGCCAGCCAGGGCTCCTCCCTGCAACCGGAGCCCAGCGGAGACACTCGGCTTCAGGCGTTCCTGTCGCTGCCTTCCCGGGCATTGTTTGAGGGCAAAGCCCATTCTTTTAAAAACAACGCCCTACTACGACAAAGCTTCCCCTGCCCGAGAGGGCAGCCCAACCCTATGTGGGGAGGCAAATCTCCCGGGGCTGCAGAGCAGGATCGGCCCACCCCAGGAAAAGCGCCCAGCTGCCATCCCTGCCTGGCGCCGGGCAGAGCACAAAGAGCTTCTCCTGGGGCGCCCAGCACAGCTGACAGGCGGGCCCTCCTGCCCGGAGGCAGAGCTCTCACCAAGGCAGCAAGCGCCTCCCCGCCGGGCCCTCCGCTAATCCTGCCAGGGCCACGCTGGAGCCGGGCATGCTGGGCAGAGCTGGGAAAGCGAGCCGTGGGTGCACGCCCGCCTGCCAAGCGAAAGAGCCAGGCGGACCCGAGCTTGGCTTCCTTCCCAAGTCCCTCCAGCCCAACCCCGAAGGGGCCACCGGGAGAGGCCACCTGAGGCAGTGATAGCGCCCACCCATCCATGGACAGGGAGGCAAGGCGGTGGCAGAAGGACTCCTGATACGAAGTGCCCCACCAACGCCAAGGTCAATGCAGGCAGCACCATATCCAGATTAGCAACAGAAGTACTTCCTAACGGAAAGCCCCCCCGCCATTCCCCCCCATTTCGCATGTTCAATATAGGCATTAATTTGGGGGGGAGGGGCTTAATTTCATTTTATGCCTATAAAACATGCTTGGACTTCCTATTGGGGGAGGCCGTATTGTTGGAGAAACACAGTATATCTATTTTTGTAACTTTTTTTAATCTAAAGATACAGGCAAAACATAAATATCTAAAATGTTTGCCATGGACATTATTTCTATTCCTGAATACAGCATAGTAAGCAGCTTTGCGCTTTATTCAGGTAATTATTTTATAATTAAAAAATATGGTGGCAACAGCCAATACAGGTAGCCCTTGACTTATAACTTCATTTAGTGACCATTCAAAGTTACAACGGCACTGAAAAAAGTGACTTATTGCTGTTTTCACACTTATAACCATTGCAGCATCCCTGTGTTTATGTGATCAAAATTCAGATGCTTGACAAGTAGTTCATATATATGGCCATTGTTGTGTCCTAAGGCCATGAGATTTCATCTTGTGACCTTCTCACAAGCAAAGTCAATGGGGAAGCCAGATTCTCTTAACAACTGGGTTACTACTTATCACCTGCAGTGATTCACTTAAAACTGTAGCAAGTAAGGTTGTACAATGGGGCAAAACTTACTTAACAAATGTCTCACTTAACAACAGAAATTTTGGGCTCAATTGGGTTATAAGTTGAGGAGTACTTGTACAACAGCTAGGTAAAAACTTTTTTTGCAGTGGTTTTATCTGCACCCTTGTCTACATGTGTATGTAATATTTGCCAGTGGCTCTCTGGAATTACAATTTAGGACACTGAAAATAAAATAACATTACACAGTTCATCTTATGTGTATTCCTTAGTAAAGAAAGTATCTTTGTGCTTTATTAAGGTAAATGTTTTATAATTAATCAGTGTGTTCTATACAGGGAGCATCATATGATGGCAATAGCAACCAATATGGAGGCCAGGTAATTTATCATTATTTATAGTACATATGTAACAGTTAATAGAGATATTACACACACACACACACACACACACACACACACACACACACACTCACACTATATCTATCTATCTATCTATCTATCTATCTATCTATCTATCTATCTATCGAAGAAAATGTTAAAAAGTGAGTTTTGCTCCTAGATACAAAATACAGATTATACTGAAATCTTAATTAAAAAGATAAACAGTAAAAGTTCATTAATTAAAATAGATTCTAACTTTGGGATATCGAAGTGATGAGAAATGGCTATCCCATTTGATATCTGGCCTTGTCTTATTGGCCTTGTTGATTCATTATTGGAGTAGAACTGCCTTTTTAAGGCATATTGGTATGTCCTAATTATCCACTTTTATATTTCTCTTTTTGAAGGATTAAACTTGATGAATTACTGATAAAGCAAATTGCTTTGTTGTTGACACCCCTGTGTTTTCCTTCCCTGCATGTGTTCCAGTGGGGGCTAGACAACCATTTCTCTGGATGACAAAATTTTAATTCTATAATTATGTGAAAGAAAATGGAAGGGACATTAACTATGGCGATTCACATTGGTAAAAGCCTCATCTAGCCTCATGTCTAAAATATCAGACAAGATTATAAAGCCAAATTTGAAATGGGATAACCATTTCTCATCACTTTGATATCAGAAATTTAGACTCTATTTTAATTAATGAAGTTTTGCTTCTTATGTTTGCCACTTTTAAGAGACACAACAGGAGGGATTACTTTCTACTCACATCCTTGTAGATCTTTCTTTAAGGGGACAAAGCACATGGTCACATCATCTGACCTCTTTCCCAGCCAGAAATTGGTGTATACACACACTTGCATGCATTACCACCCAATAGGGGTAAGTTGGCTGCGCTTATGACTGCTATCACCATTATATGGTCTTCCTCATTCAGAATAAACTTATTAAAAGTGAGGATAGCAGGCACAACTGGTTAAAAAGAACAGGGTTTCATCCATGCTGTTGTGTCCATCATTTTTTACTATTTGACACCCACTCAGGGCACCCCAGCTGTCAGCAAAATTTTTCTTAATAAGGACCGGTTACTTTGCCTTCCTCTCATCCTGGCAAACATAGCCCATTCACCCAGCAGTTCAAGATGTCTGTTTCCACGCTAATGTATTAAAAAACAAATATGAGATTTCCTCAGTGAACTATCATTTGTAATAACTGTTTTTGTAATAACTGGGTTTTTTTCAAACAGGGTGAATCTTACAATAGCAGCAGCCAATATGGAAAGGTAAAATTCCTGGAATAGTTTTACCTGTAAAGGGAAGCATCGTTTGGAATGCTGGACTCTCTATCAACAGCATATTTGCAGTCAAAACTCAGCCTTTCCTTTCTTTTTTCTTCCTTAGTCCTTGAAATTATTGCAACAATAAATCTAAGTTCAAACCAGAGTACAGAAGTCTGCTACTGATCTTGAAAATCTGTACTTCCTTTGATTTTTTAGTTTTGATTATATAACATTCAGTCAGTAATTTTATTTTGGTCATTGACCAGCAAAATAGACCTTTGGAAAAAAAAGAGTCACATTTTACTTGCTGAAAATCAATGCAGTTTATACAGCACATAAATTAACTACAATAAAACGAACTACATAGCAAGAGAGCTAAAATATCCATTTAAGAATTTGGGGCATACAAATTAATATAATAAGGCATTATGCAATTTGAATAAGGCAAATGTTTATTATTAATTCAAGTAATAAAAATAACATTAATAATATATAAAAGCATTACAGAGCTAAAATCCATGGAAAAATGTAATTAATATTAATATATCTAGAGACAAATAAACATTTACTACACATTGTTGATCACACAAATTAGCAACAATTTGGATATGATTAAAATTAGATGCCATTTCCTGAAATCTGATCAAGGTAACCTGCATATTAAACTACACTAAAAATAAGAGACTATTGTATGAGAATACTGAGAAATATTTGGTTCTTGTGGATCTTCTTGGCATGTTTTCTACTCAATCCCTGCCATGCCTCGTTTTACCACTTCCCAATTTCAATTTCCAGAGTAGGACATAGCCTGTGCCTGTTGCCAAGACTTTGAGGATATGAATTTATCTTGTCAGGACTATTGAAAACATCCCCTTCTATCTAAAGCAATGTTTCTCAAACTTGGGAGCATTAAGATATGTGGACTTCAACTCGCAAATGTCTGAAGAATTCTGGGAATTGAAGTCCACACATCTTAAAGTTTCCAAGATTGGGAAACACTGGTCTTGAAAAACAAAAAGTTACTCCTCCATATGTCCCATAGCCAGGTCAGGATAGAGGCATTTTCTTGTCTCCAACTAAGAGTCATATAATAAAGTATCAGAAAGATATTGGATTCCTCATATTTTACAGAACCCTTCCTCTTCTGGAGCCAGTCAGCCAGGAGGTCAGGTAAGAGATTCTCTCTTGGTTAGGTTGAGGTGTAACTTTCTTGTTATTTTTAAAAGCAAAATCATAACATATAAAAATATTGCTTGGTAAAAAAGCATCTGCATCAGAAATAATTTATTTTCCTTTGTAGAACTCAGCTTCTTCAGGAGGCATCCAAACTGGTGGACAAGTAAGAAAATAATGTCCAGGCAGTCTCTTGACCTTTCATTCCCATCATTGTGTTTGTTTTCACAGTGCGGGGGGAGGGGGCCCCACCACTAACCATATGGAGAGTGTTCTGTACAGTCATTTACATACTTGTAAGCGCCGCGTTGCGATTGGCTAAAGCGCGCAGCAACCGGATTGGTCGAGCGAGCCGCACTGATTGGCCCGTTGCGAATCCCCCGCGATTGGTGGAAACTAATCGCGGGAGATTCGAAGCGGTGCCATTGGCCGCGGCCGCCGCGGCTTGGGAATAAAAAGCCGCAGTTTTTCCCTCCAAGCTTAAGCTGTTTACGGAGCACAATAAAGAGCTGAAACCAGTCACTGACTCCGAGCTTCCTTCCTGCGACGGACACGACAGAGAGAGTGGTGAAATTGCTAGTCCAGTTGTAGTTAACAAACAACAGTGGTGACAAGGTACCATGTTTTCTTGGTTTCAGGAGAGAGGGTGTCATGCTCCCACTGCAAAAATTGCTGCAAAACCATTTGCAATCTTGTCCAATCAGGTGCCCTCTAGATGGGTTGGGACAATAATACCCAGTGGTATCTTCAAGGGGAAGTCAAGACAGACAAGATGGTGGTTGTAGGAACATGATCCATGCCCTGTCCTTTTTGCACCTGTGTCAGCATTGAACACATATACATACAGACAAGGCTTTTTGATTGGGCTCCCATGACAGCCATCTTGCCTGTCTTAATACCCAAACTCCAAAGATGCAGTTAACAATTCCCCAAATTGCCAGCCTTTGGAATCCGGGAATTGAATTCACGACATATCCCAAGGGCAATAACTCCATGACTGATGGCACAGCTCAGTAATTTGGAAGAGAAATGAGCAGCTTAGTGTCAATTTTTGGTGAGTGCTACATTGTACTGCAGCAGACTCAATCAATAGTTTTCTTCGCAATTAAATATATTGTGTAATAAGTAGGCTGTGTGTGTATATATATATATATATATATATATATATATATATATATATTAGTTTTTCTGAGATTTGCAAGTTAAGACAGTATGTCTTTTGAAGCTGATTAAAAATGTACTCCTGTATCACAAACCTATTAATCTGTTTTTTCTTTAAGACAAAGCCAAGATGATGACAGAGTAGCAGTTTCCCTGAGCTCCTTACGATACTTTATTTGGTCATTTTTTATAAATAATGTAGTTATCCAGTACTTAATTCTATATATTCAGGCTCAAGCTATTCTTTCCACAAAATTGATAACACTGATAATAAATTGATAATTAGCAATAATAATATGGTACTACACAGATCATACCTGGACCATATCCAGTTGAGCATGTTGCAATTGCATATAAACATAAAAAAGAATTAAACATTGAATTTAAAAAATATGATCCTGAAACCTTAGCAAAGTTAACAACATCATCTCTGGAAAAAATAAGAACTATATTTTTAAGTATTGTGCCAGGACTATATTTCATCACTTTTAATCCATAAAGAAGCATTGATTCATTTTCGGCCAAACAAATTATTGACTAAAAGTGATATTTTACAAATTGTCAGAATATTTTTTTATTAAAGAATTACTGAATTTCTGTTCTGTTTTCTTAACAGATTGAATGTTATTGTACAGATGGGCTTTTGGTAAGTACTTATTCTGCACTAATTTGTGTTTTGATTGCACTGAAGCACAAATGGATTTCTTTGAGTTTAGTTTAGCATCATAGTTTAGCATCCAGACAATCCAGGTTCTAAAGCAGGGTTTTGTTTTAATGTAAGATTGCCTGAAGTGATCAACATCAGGAGTCGATTAGACAATCCTAGAAGCCAATAAATGTTTGGGGGTCCATAGATAGTTGATAAATGATGGAAGATCAGTTAGGGTCAATTAATATTTAAGATTCTGTGGAGCTCCATGCAAATTTTAATTCTGAAGATGAAGCAGCTAGTAGTTACTCAGAGTTGGATAGAGCCACAAGGAAGAGAAGTCTAGAGTTGTTTCTATTTTCATGACTTGTTGCATAGTCAACCAGATGTTTAGAGTGGATTTGACATTTTATCCACTTATCAAATTCTTCCCAAGGATCTGGGATAGGCACACATTGTTGTTTGATGGTGTTACAGTAACATTGCAGGATGCAAGCTGCTTCAGTAAAATTGCTTTTTGCAATTGTGTGATGATTTTGTCAATTCTGGTAGTGTTCAAGTGGTGCTCCAGATGTTTTGGGATTGCACACAAGATGCCTATTACTATCTTTGGTTTTTTATAGCATAGTAACTTATGAACAAGAGATGTTTCTATTCAAATATATAAGATGTTCATGAAGATATATTAGTAAATGTGACTTTCCTAGGGATTTTTCTTTTTGAGCGGATTTAAAAATACAGATGGATTTTTCTTTAATAGGATTCCTCTTATCATGGACAAAGCAGCCAATATGGTGATGTACAAGTAAGGAATATTTTTCTATAGAAATGATGATTTGACATGAATTGACTTGCCAATAAGAATGAGCATGGAAAAAAAACCCTGACTTCTATTGTTACAGGGTTCCCAATCAGCTAGTGGCCAATATGGTCATGGAAAAGGAAGCTTGTATGGGGACACCAACCAACATGTTGAACATGGTGGCAATAGTCAATATGATGGACAAGGAAGCCAGCATGGGGGCCATAGCCAATATAGTGGTGGACAAGGAAGCTCATATGGCAGCAGCAGTCAATATGGTGGTGGACAAGGAAGCCAATATGGTGGTGGACAAGGAAGCCAATATGGTAGCGGACAAGGAAGCCAATATAGTGGTGGACAAGGAAGCTCATATGGCAGCAACAGTCAATATGGTGGTGGACAAGGAAGCCAATATGGTGGCGGACAAGGAAGTCAATATGGTGGCGGACAAGGAAGCCAATATAGTGGTGGACAAGGAAGCTCATATGGCAGCAGCAGTCAATATGGTGGTGGACAAGGAAGCCAATATGGTGGTGGACAAGGAAGCTCATATGGCAGCAGCAGTCAATATGGTGGTGGACAAGGAAGCCAATATGGTGGTGGACAAGGAAACTCATATGGCAGCAGCAGTCAATATGGTGGTGGACAAGGAAGCCAACATGGTGGTGGACAAGGAAGCTCAAATAGCAGCACCAGCCAATATGATGGACAAGGAAGCCAATATGGTAGTGGACAAGGAAGCCAGTATGATGGTGGACAAGTAAGTCTATATGGTGGTGGAGAAGGTAGTCAATATAGTAGTCGATAAGAAAGCTCATATGGTGGCAGTAGCCAACAAGGAAGCCAATATGGTGGTGGGCAAGGGAATCTCATATAGCAGCACCAGCCAATTTGATGGCAAGGAAGCCAATATGGTAGTGGACAAGGAAACCAGTATGATGGTGGACAAGGAAGTCTATATGGTGGTGGAGAAGGAAGTCAATATGGAGCGAGCATCCAATATGGTGGTGCACGAGGAAGCAAATATAGTGGATAAGTAAGGAGAATATTTTTAGGAGGATTTTATATTTTACGGCAATGTCAGCCTTTGGTCACAGAATAAAATTAAGAAAGATAATAAATATAAGTAAGTCCTGCAAAGAGAGATGGAATTGAGAATGCTTAGATTTGAGAAAAGAAGGCTGAGGGAGGATATGAGAGGACACTTCAAATTCTTGACAAAGCTCTGTACCTGGTTTCATTGTTCTGAGTGCAGAATAATGGATTTCAGTTACAGAATCAAGATTTGATTAAATAAAGTTCCTAACAGTAAGAGGAATACAGTAATAGAACACATTAATTTGGAGCATTCTAGAAAGGTGTGGTGGGTTGTTAAACTTAACTGGATGTGTTTAGGCAACACAACATAAGAGATTCACTAAGTATGGGGCCAACATCAGTGAAAGTCAGTGTGGTATAATAACTAAGAATTAGAGCCAGGAAGACCCAAATTCAAGTCTACCCTTAGCTACGGAAATTCATTGGGTGACTTTCTGCCAATTACACACTTTTAGGCAAACCTCTGAAATGCGTTGCTGTGGGAAATAATGGAAGTGTGATATTGACAGGTTTAAGGTGATTTAAAGGTGTGATATGAATCCGTTAAATAAATAATGGCAATTATTCTCTTTTGTGAATTGGCCATTGTTTTAAAAAATGCATTTCCTACTTAGAGGGTATCACTGCCAAAACAATGAAGTCTTACTTTAAATGACTACTTGGAAGGAGGCAGTCAGTATTCATTATATACAAACGTGCATTAAATAAGAAAGACTACATTCTGGGAATTGCCTGGCATGATGTTTTATGATGATCAGAAGTGCTTTATAGACTGTATAAACCACCTTTTCTGAGCCATCATAATTTTAAATGACAGGTCATAAATTGAGGACTATCTATAGATATGATGACATTTTTTCCTTGGTATGGATCAGGGAATATTATATTATGGCTGCAAGAAGAGAGAAAAACCTACAGTGAAGAATAGATGTGGGCTCATAAGATTAACTCCCTTCTCCAGTGTTCTAGTCTCAGTTCAGAACAAATGAGGGACATTAATCTTTTTAGAAAAAAGTAAACAACAGCAAGAGCTTCTCTTCAATAACATGTTTTGCTGGGCCTCAATTTCCCTTTACATAGAAGTAGATCACAATATTTTCCAGTCAAGTTATAAGTCACATGGAAGTATTCAACATAAAGGTAATTTTTTTCTCTCAAGCATTAGCACAGATTTATAGAAATGTTGGAACTTATGTTGAAATTATTCTCTTTTTCTAATTGCCTTTTTTGCCTGCACAGGGTTCCCAGCATGGAAGTAATGAGTTTGCTGTTAATGGAACAGGCAAGCAACAGAGTGGACAAGTAAGGACTTCTCAAATAAATGTATTTGGGCTGCACCAGTTAATTATTTCCTCCATTTAGAAATGTGTAGCCTGTAATATCCTTACAGTTAAGAAAGAAAATAGGTTGCTGTAATACTATTGTATTTGTTATACTTAGGAAGAATGTGCACACTTATCTTGAGTATATTCAAATTTACAATCCTGTTTTGGTATTTTCAACTGAACTTTTGAGGAGTCCAATATAGTTTTGTACTGTAATAATGTATGTTGATCACATACATTCAAAATGACTATTCAGTATCTTTCCCCCAAGTGTTTTGGAATATAAAGATTAGGTTGCTTATTTCTGTAGGGTCTCTTTTATCCAGAAGGCAGATGATAACTCAGCTTTCTCAATTAATGATTCATTTTTGTATTGGCATAGACATTAATAGTATAAAAAGAGTATGAAAATATTTATGAGCCAGTGAACCCAATTCAAACTGAAAGCATCATAACTTCTAAATATTAGTATCTATTATTACCAACCATAGAGCTCTTGCATTGAATTATTTGTTGTAAAGCCAATGTACTGTATAATCTTAGGTTAAAGTGCATTGACAATTATAAGTTCTACTGAATTCAGTAGGATTTCTTTCCCAGTTAAGTATACTTAGGATTGGTGATTACGGGAGCTGGTTTCACTGGGGCTGCTGAGAGGCTATTGTCCAATATACTGTAATCCAGGGGTGTCAAACTCAAGGCCTGGGGGCCTGATCTGGCCCACAGGGTGCTTAGATCTGGCCCGTGGGCTGCCCTGGAAACAGCAAAGGACCAGCCCGCGGTGCCTCAGCCAGTGAAAACGGAGCTTGGGAGAGCCGCCCACCTCCCTCCCGAGTTCTGTTTTTGCTGGCAGAGGGTTGCAGGAGGCGTTGCAGCTGAAAATGGAGCTTGGGAGCCCATTTTCGCTGGCAGAGTGCTCAGGCCGCCATGGCGCCCCTGACCCAAGTGATGTCAAGCTGGGCATGCCCACCCTGGCCCCCCAAGGTCAAACACAACCCTGATCCAGCCCTTAATGAAATCAAGTTTGACACCCCTGCTGTAATTGATTGCAGTACAAATCTTCATACCTTATGTTTTACTTCAATGACATTAAATAAATGGGATTGTTGGAGTTTGGTATAACCTAACTAGATGTCCTATCATTAATATAGAAATGCTGGCACATTCTTTCTCCAAAGAAACTAAGTCACATTTTAGAATTCTGAGAAAGAATATAGAAATACTGAACACCAAGAGCTCTGGTCTTTGTCTGCTAATAATGCCAGATCTTCCTACAGGAAGATTCTCAAGGCTAAATAAGACCTTGCCATGAGTGCACCAATACTGAGCTGCTGACATAATTAATATCTGTTTTATCCACAGGGTTTTCAGAGCCATCAGTCTCATAACTCTGTAAGTATTCTACTCCCAAAGTGTTTCCTACTTCTATTTACTAAGGCCCTATCTTCAGTGAAGGAATGATCTATCACAACTGCTGCCCCATTGAAGAACATCAGTAGTGCTCTTCAAAAGAAGGGAGGAAGAGAGGAAGGAACTGCGGGGAGGCATAGAGACCAGACATGGGAGTCCTGAAGAGTGCATATTCTTAAAGCCTGAATCACTACGACTGCTGCTGCTTCCTTTCCCTGCTCTACCACAACTCATGCGACCTTTCTAATTGAACACTAATTAGGCATTGCTTCCTAATTACAGCAGGGAATGAGACGCTAAATCAACTCTCTTTCATTTGGCCTCTTGTAGATTCTGCTTCCATCTGTTCTCAGCAACTCTCTAGTGGGGATATTGATCTCATGTAAAGTCATACCGTGTTTCTCCAACAATATGGCCTCCACCAATAGGAAGCCCCAGCATGATTTATTGGCATAAAATCAAATTAAGCCCCTCCCCCCAAATTAAGGCCCATATTAAACATGCGAAATGGGGGAGGGGAATGGCGGGGGGGGGGCTTGCCGTTAGGAAGTACTTTGTTGCATGCCCGGATATGGTGCTGCCTGCGTTGGTGGGGCACTTCACACCGTTGCTTTTCTTTCTCCCTTGCTGCCGTGGCATTACAGCAACGCCGCAGCATTTGGTGCAGCCACGTGCGGCCAGTCAGGGCTCTTCCCTGCAACCAGAGCCCTGAGGAGACACTTGGCTTCAGGAGCTCCTGTCGCCGCCTTCCCTTTGCCTTCGAAGGTAAAGCGAATTATTTTAAAAACCTCTGCTCATCCCACCAGGGCCGTGCCAGAGCCATGCGGGCTGGGCAGAGCCGGGAAAGCGAGCCGCGGGTGTTTCCTGGCTCTGCCCAGCCCGCACGGCTCTGGTGCGGCCCTGGCGGGATGAGCGGAGGGCCCAGAGGGGAGGCGCTCGCTGCCTTGGTGAGAGCTCTGCCGCCAGGCAGGAGGGCCCGCCTGTCAGCTGCGCTGGGCGCCCCAGGCAGAGCGCGAAGAGCCCGGCCTTATTATGTGAGAAACACGGTATAAAACCTTCTGGGAGGCCAATAATCCCTGATTGCATCAATCAATCCCCATCAATAATTGCCAGATAAATTTTTGTTCCCTTCAGGAGCCAAAGAAGGAATAGTCATGGAGGCACAGAGCCCTGT